TGAATAATTATCCACAAATGTGGATTTTATTTAGGGATTTTTCAATTTAGGGATTTTTTTTTCATGTAATACATGCATGTCATAATGTAATTCGATATCGTCTTACTTCAACTGTGCCAAACAACTTGACCTATGGAAACCAGGTACTTCAGCGAAGATTTTACTATCTACAAAACCATTCTGGTCACTAGAATATGTCATTCTCAGTTTCTGTATTCGCTTGCATATTATTAGAGAACGAGCACAACACAATTTTGGTAACCAGAACTTGTTAGCGTCCATCGATGTTACGGCATGACGCTAACTTCATATATATGTATGTTGTTTCTTTTGTTCCTGCAGTATATATACATATATATCTACCAATCTATTGATCATCATGTTCTTATGATGATCATCTCTTTTTCATTCTTTCTTCTTCATTTTATTATATTCTTTGATTTTTCTATCGCTTTCTATTTTGATTCTCTTTTTTTCTCTTTTTTGCCTTGATCGTAGTTATTGTGATAACTACCTTCAGTCTTGTTTTTCCTCTGGTCGTGGTTATACATCTATTCGTGTTTTCTGTGATTTTCCATCATCATCATCTATTAATAAAATATTTGAAACACCTACATAACGGAATTTATTACAACTCTTATTCCATCACCTGAACAACAATATACGGTAAGCATTTAAGTGTGAGTTTTCTCAAGATAAGCAGGCTTAGATCCTATATTTCATATTTCAGCCTACGTCAACAACGGAGGTTGAAGCCATTAGTTACATTCCCAAAACGAGAACCTCACAGGGTGTGGGTGGGTACGGCATTTTTACCCATGCTCACACCCACACCCACATTCACACCCACACCCACACCCACATCCACATCCACATCCACACCCACACCCACACCCACACCTGACACCCACACCCACACCTCACACCCACACCCACACCCATGCCCACGCCCACACCCACACCCACCCGCACCCTGTAAGGGGGGAGGGGAGGCTGTCTGTAATGTTCTCTTTCGTTGCTATGGTCTGTAATGGAGGGGGGGCTGTCTAGAAGGGGAGGGTGCAATGTAAAAAATAGGCGTAGAATAATAAACCCTTCAAAAGGGTTTATTAGCCTTATAAACGCTTTCATATACTCTTTTAGTGTCATAAACCCTTTCATATACCCTTTTCCTTCATAAACCCTAGGAAGGGTATATTATTCGTTGCACTTTCATAAACCCTTTAGGGTATATGAGCTGTCATATACCCTTAAAGGGTTTATTAACTTCATAAACCCTTCGGAAAGCGTTTATTAATATACCATTTAGAAGAAACCGTAGAATAAAAAACCATTTTCCAAAGGGTTTATGAAGTTAATAAACCCTTTAAGGGTATATGACAGCTCATATACCTTAAGGGTTTATGAAAGTGCAACGAATAATATACCCTTCCTAGGGTTTATGAAGGAAAAGGGTTTATGACACTAAAAGGGTATATGAAAGCGTTTATAAGGCTAATAAACCCTTTTGAAGGGTTTATTATTCTACGCCTATTTTTTACAGTGTGAGGTGAGGAGGGCCGCGAATCCTCGAACTTAAAACTTACAGTCACTATTTCTTCGAAAATATACATGAGTTCCACAAAAGAGGAAGTGAAATAACGTTTATGATATCCGATATTCTATGTGAGTCATGTTATTTATATTCGCCATATGTCACTTGATTTTTCAGTCTCAATTTACCTTCAATAGTGTGCACTTGATCAAAAATATGAAAATAAATATGGTGTGGGTAAGGTTCGTCTACTAATAAATTCGTCTCTTTTTGATTAAAAATATCTGTTAAGATCTGCATAATTGAGTGGGTGTTTTTGTTGCATATATACACCCACACCCTCCAGACTCTATCTGTCGCGGTCTGTGATGGTCCAGATGCTTGCCTGTCACGGTCTGTGGGGGGAGGCTCAAATTTCTACCCCTGAATACTTCAACACTCCTTTTAGATCGTGATTTATAAAAGTGAACTTCGAGCGTTTTCGAAACAATTGGATTTTGTTGGAGGGACGTCTTTAATCCTCCTTTTTATTTTGATTGGTACATGATATGGTATCAGCATATATTTGCGCTACATCGATTTAGGCGAGAAATTTTATACTTTATAAGAAATTCAAGTATGCTTTAAGCTTGTATTTATGAAATTTTATTTGTTCCCATAAATCCTTGACGTAACCCAATTCCTTCTCTCAGTTGTTTTTTGCCATATATAAGGAGTAGTGTATTCATATGCATCTGCAAGATTTAGCCTGAAAACAAGGTTCTCATCACTATCGTTATGCTACTACCATTCGTATTGTGCATGTATTTGCTTTCTGCCGTTACTAGTTTCCCGTACAGCAATGAAACTAAAGTCTACAATTTCACATTGCCCCTACCGAATATTGTTGAAAAAGTGGTAGATTCATCGTCATCCGTCGTTGCTGCGGCACCAACAAGTCGTAGCTTTGCCAGCGGTATTGCAAACACCAACATTCTAACACTGTTTAAATACAATGGTAGCCAAATATGTGTATGGTTCTGCATCGAATGAGGGTGAAACACCACAGAAATGGATCTTCTACTATGTACCGGTGATGGCACCTCAACGAAGTTCACCGACTGATCCATGGGTTTGGTCAACGAAAAATGAAGTACGTGTTAAACTGCTATTAGGTGATGATGTAGTTGATGAAATGGCACGAGAAGCTATTAGAAAAAAATATGATATGAAAACTGCTGAGTATTCAAAATATTGGGATGTTGCACCATTGATGATCGACTCACTAACAGCTTACATCGTGCAAGGAAGTAACTCACCGATTGCCGGTGTAGAACCATTCCATGCTGTTCATCCGAACTCACTCATCATGATTTTTCGATTCAAATGTTCAACAGAGGAAAATGCTCGGCAGATTGCTGAAATGATTGAAATCGGTGAATATGAAATTGAAATCGCCTTTTACTTTGCCGGCTTTCGTCAGACATCTACTAGTTTTGTATCAATTACCGGTGATCAACTGAAAGCAGCAGCGAGTAAGACAACAGCTGATGGCGAAAATCCAAATGCTCAGTACATACATCGTGATCAAGCATCTAAATTCATTGGAAAATATACGATGAATATTAAGAAATTGGTCTATTCGGAGAGTCCAGAAGCCAACACACAAGCACTGTCAGATGGTCTCGAAGCACAATTTCTGTCATTACTACAACAAGGTAACTTTGCTTGTTAAACAGATTTCTATAAGCTAACGTTACCACATCTATATCCTTTCTGTTTTCAGCTATGCAAGATGCGACTATGGAAAAACTAAAATCTGATGCACTTCAACAAGTTTGGTCACCATCGGATCTAGATCCAGATGTATTAGAAGCTGAAATAACTAAAATGTTTTCGTATAACCAATCAGAAACGGAACGTCATAATGATAGTAAAATGTATTTCAATGGCAATGTGGAAGAAATGAAAAAATCAGCTGCAAAAGGAAGTGGTAGTCTCTCAGGTAGTATTGGTAAAGGTTTCTTGAAAATTTTCAGTCTCGGTTTAAGTGGTAGTGGTGAAACAGCAACTACAACTTCGTCAAAAAATCATACAATTACAGATCAAGTTATGTCAGAAACTGATATTCAGAAACATCTGTCACAGCATGCAATGGAAACTGAATGGCGAGGAAAAAAGTTGAGACCAAAAGAATTTAAAGTTTACAAATTAAGCGACATCACAGATCATTTACAGATAGCTGTTATTTCAAAGCAGTTGTCAGTAGATAAAGAACAAAAGGCTATTGTTCGAGTAATTAGTACAATGAATACACCATATTTTATTCCGACTAATCATACTCCTTCAAACTTAGTTATCATCGGTGAAATTAGGCTCTATTCAGGTATAAGCAAACCCCCTTACCCATGGCTTCTGTGCGATGGGTCCGCTGTATCACGTGTTGAACACCAGCGCTTGCTTGCCATCATTGGTACACAATACGGGTCTGGTGATGGTGTAACAACGTTCAATCTACCAGATTTTCGTGGACGAGTCCCAGTTGGCGTAGATGAGTCTCAAGTACGTGTAAGTGGAATAGATACAGTTGGGTCCACAGGTGGTCAAGTTACGCATCGACTAACTGTTAATGAAATTCCGCCACATCAGCATAGCGCAGGTACTCTCTCTACATCGTTAAATGGTGATCACTCGCACTCCATTTATGATCCTGGTCATAATCATGGTGGTAAAACAGGTGAAACCGGACCAACAAATACAGGAAGGTGGGGAATGACTTCCAAGGGTTATGGCAGCGACCAATCTTCTCATTCTCATACAATTCGAACCGATAAAACGGGGATTTCAGTTTACTCAGCTGGTTCCCATACTCACAACGTTACTCACGGTCAAACTGGTTCAGCTGGACTTGGGCAACATTTCAGCTTGATGCAACCATACCAAACAGTTAACTATATAATTTATGCCCCATAAACAATTCAATCTTCGTTGATGTCAGAAGCTATGCATCCAGCTAGCCCTTTTCTGAATAAATATGAACCATAAGATCAAAAAGATTCGAGTTGATCTTGCACAAATTCTCAAAGAGTCTGCATGAATGAACTAATATCGGCGTCAGAATTCAAGGCGCTTCAATATGTTTTGAATAACTTTCAATAGAAACAGGATAGAGGTCTCCGATTTTCGCCATTCTAAAGAGAAAGCTCCTGGTCATCAAACTATATCAAAATCTTGATGTATGGATGTGGGTGCGGGTATAGAGTGTTAATGTGACGAGAAAGTGTATACCTACGTCCTCTGGACTACTTCACTAATAGTGAATTTCACTAGTGCGATCATATCTCCACAAGGGAATATTGTTGCAAGATCCGACTGCCAGAAAGATTGTATTTTAATCTGCGCTACTATTACTATAAATTTAAAGATAAACGGTTCTGTTCGAAGGGAGATATGCCCATGTCAAGGTCAAAGTGGTACTGATAATGACGCATATTTTTTGAAAAAGAAAAAACTGATTTCCTATTTAGAATTAATATTTGTTGAATCAACGCTAAATTTGATACCTTTATCATCATTGTTATGTCCAGAGTGTTCTCATCTCTACATCAGACGAAGATAAGATGTCTCTTCTAGTCTAATTGGCTTAGGACATCTGCCCGGATAGCAGAAAGTACGTGGTTCGAGTCCCGTGAAGAGTCATCTTTTTCTTCGTTTTGTGGTCGTTCCAACTCGCTTCATTGTCCTGTATGATTTATAAGACCTACGAATCATAACAATCATCAAGGATGTAGGTGTGGGTGTTGATCTTTCCTTCATCCATACCCACACCCTGGTGAAAGTATGATAACTTGTCGATCTATAGACGATACTTTTGGAGCATATGTATTGTCGAATAACATGATAAACTGACGCATATTGCAAGATATCAAGTCAATTGCACGGAGGGCAACATCTTTCGAAATTTGAAATGGATCAGGTTCATGTAATCG